AAGTCAGCCGAATTTGAGGCTAGCCATAAAGAGGTTTGTACACTGGCTCCATGACTTATCCAGCATATATAGTATTTTCCTTAAGGTATTTTGAGACCGGAACTCCAAATTATCAAATTAACGTTGTCCCTCCTCACCGAGTAGGTGTCTGAGAAGCTTCAATTTCTGGCCTTCGGTTTAGTTAGCAACCACAAGTAGGTCAAGCTAGTTTGTGAGCGAGGTTTTCCACTGGGCCTATGCACTTTCGGTAGAACGTGGCATTGGTTCGTAAGCCGCGACTCCAGTGTTGTGTACGCAGTCACGTGCACTAGCCGAAGGAAGAAGGTTCGCTCCGGTAAACAAACTACCGTAGTCTAAAATGTATCAAATTACCTTTGTACATTAGAAAGCACATAAAATAATGAACCAAAAGCGAAGCAGATAAGTATGCAGGAATGTGAGTGTGTGTGTCTAGCGATGTATGCGCTGTCTATTTAGACCAGTGGTCATGCATGCTGGAAAATACACAACAATTATTGTCAAAGGTTGAGCTAAACTCACGACTGAAACTTTTAACACCATCGGGCGAGTGCATTCTGCACCCCCTGAGATATGCGCGCGCATGAATATCAGCCATTTCAATACAGCTGTAGTTTTAAAAGATATGTAGTTAAGGCCTGAGGGCGACATGGTCTGCGTAGATAAGATGTAAGGTTATTGCACGCTTTGGAAGGAACTTCCAAATTGTTGTCCAAGCACGTTGTTTGCCTCTTGTGCAGTTGTGCTAATTCGCATCCTATGTGCAGAGCAGAAATTCCACGTTTCACCAGGAGAATTTTTACGTGTTGTTATAGTAGTTGGGGGTAAGAGCAAAATTTGATCACAAGTTCTTGTTTGTTCTTTACTCTATCTTCCCGGAGGATTTAGACACAGTGGTTCCTTTGTGTTTTATAGACATGCCAAGTGTCCTCGCTCAGCGAGGTTATGTCAGCGAGACATACCATCTCCTTCAATGCCATATATTTATAAAGCCTGCACCTTAGAAAGGATTCATTCAATAGAGTCGATGAATTTTGCTGTTTGATATTCATGTCACGAGCCTGTTGAATTGGTTGATAAAATCCGCGTAGGTCACCCCAGGTGACCATTGGTTAGAAAAGACCAGCTTGTTGCACCAATGAGGTCAGACTGGTCTTTATAGTTAGTTACGACGTGAAATTTCTCGGCATACTCTTTAGGATACTCCGCGTAACACATGTACTGAAACACTAGTGTCGAATGTGCGCTGCGGCCCTTAAGAGGACAAGGTGGTATTACGTCGATCCTGAGTTCCTCGTTGTTGACGCCACGGACACACCTCCGGGAAATACCATTCTCTACACGATTTGAGTCTTCGGGTTGGGAGACCCAGGCTGCAAGCTGTTTTCTTTTTCTCGTGTTTGAAATAGCTGACTGTACGCTATTAACTGTACACCTGCTTTGGCTACACCGTTTCAAGAGAGCTCAAGTTTAAGCAACGGAATTTAAGTCCTGCCGCAGCTGGTTCGGTTTCCGCCGCTATGCCAACCGCAGCTCACTACACAATCGGTGTCAGTTGGTCCGCTTTCTGTGCCAGCGCAGCGATGCACCTTCCGATCGGGATGGTAATACACTGCATACAGAACCAAATGGAGTATAGTGTGCAGTGTGATTCCTGTACTTTTACTACACTTAGCATTGCAGGCTGGGCATGAAATTTTTGTACTGCCGTTACAACACATCATTCTGGTTTGAATAGTCTTGGAGCGCGAGTTGAAATTGCAGAGGCTTTTGTCTGTGGCTGTGCGGATATTGTACTCCTCGTTTTCCTTGTTGCTGTGTTGCGAACCACGCCGAAGCGTCATTCCCGTGCGCTGTTTGCGATCACTTTTGCTGGTTCTCAGCGCACTGAGCTCGCTTAGGCAGTATATGATGCTTATTGACAATGTCAGTTGACGTAAGTGATTCTGCGTATGGAACGGACGAGCACAGTTAAGTTCGAATGCGTCGTCGTTGGCATCGTTGAGTATCCACTGACTTGCACGTTACTTCCGCGCAGAGTACAGTGTAGCCCCGGCACCAACTGAAATTTGCATTTCTGTAGATCCCAAAAACGCCTTTAACGGTAAACCTCACTCAACTTCCCTAAGAATATACGTGGGAGATTGCATTTGCATCCAGCCCAGACGTGAACAGATTTGGAGTTTCCTCATAGGTGCGCTTTCTTGAGAAGTAAGAAAAACAAGCACTGGTTTCTATAAGAATAATAGAATCTTAGCCACTGATCTACTGAGGATAAGCGGGCTTGAGTAATGGAATTTTAACGTAACAGGAACAAGTGTCCTGTAGGACAGTAGATTCTGTTTTTTAGAGCTGACTTAATGCAGCGCAAATATCTTGTCTCCAGAGGAATTAAAAAAGTTCAGATGAGGCACGGCTTTGTTCAGCAACCATGATGCTGGATGTCACATGCACATATTTTTGCGTCTATCTAGATATTATGGGCGTATATCGACTGTTCTGACGCTGAATCGATCGGAATTGCAAGTAGTCTCTTCTCAGTAAATCATATCAGGCATGTACAAGTACAGGAATGCTTGCGAAAACTGCACGACAAGTGCCTTCTGGGATATAGAGGAAGAAAACTTTGCACAAAACTGAGTCTGGCCCTCTGCAACGATGATGAGAAGTCGTTACTCTCAGTACAAACAGACGTCTATGATCACCAATTCGATCTAGCATACGTCAAGATACTTAGAAGAGCAAAGGCTAAAGGGGCGTGTGAGTTCAACAGAGCCTGGAATTCGGGCCAGAACTCAGTCTACAGGCACCTGGAGTAAGAAGAGTACTACGAATATTTGCAAGTTAATTTATGTATAAGTACCAGAATGACAAGACAAACGAGTGATCGCATGGCCGATCTACGTTAGTCAAACGATGTTTGACATTCAAAGCAGGAAACGATTGATTGTCAATCGCATCTGCCAGTGACTTACAAGGCTGTACGAATCATAACGTGAAACCCGCGCTAATGATGTTGCCTGGATTGGGAACAAAATACCTGCAAGTAAAATGCCATTCTTGATGAAAAACTGCCCTATATAGTACCAGATGATTTATACGCAATGTACACACCTACGATTTCCAGACCGATAGAGTCAGTTAAAAAAGCATTCATACATAACTCGAATACTCGTTTACTCAATACACTTAGATCAAACAAATTAGCGAAGAAAATCATAAGTGGTATTCTCGGGTGCTCTAAGTGAAATACATCTCGCTACTGATGTGCTACTGTGAGGTATTGATGAAGGGATTTCCCCCTGCATAGCTCTGACTCTGTTCGCTCGATCGCAATCGGCTGAGTTGTCTTCAGAATGTATGTTTTCGACCACTTCTGCTACAGCTTTGGTAAGGTGTATCAGAACTTGTAGGCATTCTTTTTCAGAATTCGGTGCCTATATTGAACTATATGTTAGGAGAGAAAGGTGCTGACGGTCTCAGTGCTAACGGACACCATTGAAGAGGGTTGGCTGTTCGGGCTGGAATACTAGATTAGAAGTAGAAAAGTCGACATGGGCTAGGTCAAATACACGACTCTGCTTTCTCAAAGTGCGTGATATCACTCAGCTTGAAGTGAACTCCTTCATGGTAAGTTCGTTTTCTTGCACGCAGCTTGCAATGAATCTAAGATTCTATACTTAGAAGAAAGCAGACGCTTCCTATAAGGTGCACATGTTGCGATAATGTGCTCCTTCTTGGGAAGTTCTATTCTAAATACTTGCGAATTTGAAGACGCCGTTTGTAGAACAGCACGTCTGCAAGCGTCTGCGATTGACTGCATGTTACGTGCAAGGTATTGTTGTATCTTACTGTACACCGTCTTTGTGCTTCTGCATAGCAAGTAGATCACAGACGAAGTAGGCAAACTCGTGGAACAGCGGACTGTAATCAAGTTAACATGCATAATTGGATGAGTCATCTCAAATATGCGTTGACTGATCGAATTCTGATGAGGTAACTGAATCGCGACCACAGTTGCTTTTGGAGTAAACTTGATTCAATTAAATAGATAGTAATAGATCTAAAGTAAAAAATAAATATGTAGTGGTCTAGGAAGTGGTAAATGCTTCAGTACCTTAGGAAATGCAAAAACTTCAGGAAAGGCCAACTCAAGTCAAATCACAGTTCCGTTTCATTACACTGCGCGTTATGGATACGTCGGACAGTGGAAGGGAAACTTCACTCGTAATTCCACAGTAAATATCCGACTTTCATGCAAACTGGAAAGCAGCGTACACACATTGAATTAGCGTAGACAAACTTCAGCACGACGTGAGTGCGCAAGTTGGAGAGATATATGCTCGTGATTCTGTCCATTCAAACAAATGGTACAAATGACAATGTTAAGCAACTAATTACGGGGAAGAAATCTATAAATCAATAACATTCACTAGAGCAGCACCGTTTCGCCATCTCGCAACACTTCATAACTTCGACTCGAGATGACGTGTGGCCATGCATTCACACAACGCGTGCTTCAAAAGGACCTGGTCACTTAGCGCTGCGAAAAGCACCGTCGGCCACGACTCGGAGGCTTAGGGGTAGCATTTTCTGCTGATATCCTGGTCCGAGTCTCCATTATGCTACTACTACCGGTTACGTACAAAATAAAATGAAACTGGTTGTAGGATGCAGATTTTCACTCGGTTTCAGCTTACGTGTTTGAAACTTAGTTTTAGCCAATCAAATTTCTTCACTTTATTTCACTGGAGCACAAAGGCGGTGTATCTAAAAACGCTTAAGGGAATCACCCTCCATCCATCACGATCTTTACAGTGTGTTCAGGATGCTATCCAGAACTTCATCGTTGGACTGGGGTCGTAGTAAATCCCTAACATGTTATATTACTCAAGCTAGAAATTCGCACTGTTTTATTACCATTGAATTAAACCTCAAATGTACATCTTCGCTTTCATCTTCCTACTTACGGTGTTTAAAAGCGACGACAAAGTTACGATACGGATTTGAGGTGGACCCTGCACCTGGAGTAAAGAATCCATCGAATTACACCGTATCGTCGGATAATGCACAAATCAAAGGAGTTCAGTTATCCCGCGTGCACTACTCTAACTCGCGATTCCCAAACGATACACTTAATCTGCGTTTGTATGGCAAGCCTGGGAACGCCTACGCTGTCCGGTTTAGCACACGACAAAGTCCCAAAAGCGCAGTAGACGGATACCCCATTGTGCCCGAGGATTCAGGGATTTTTGCATGTCTGTCTCCAGGAAAGCAGTGAGTACCCTTTTTACCCATGTCTTAACGTCAATAAACATGTTTTGCAGATTAATCAAGCTAACTATTAGTTATACTACTACAGTATGCAACCGGTCAATAATTCCGAGGAGTTCGCTATCCAATCCGTAGGTCTAACTAGACCTATGAGACTTCAATAACAAAAACATCTCCAAGGTGGTTGGATGAAGTTCGTATGACCAACTGGTAGGCCAGCACACTGGATGTAACTTGCGAGTGGCTAACACTTCGTGGTAAGCTGGATGCCGTTGTCACAGCTGCCGAGGAGATCAAGCCTGAGCTGAGTAGGAAGCAGAAACAAGGACGGTTTATTGCTGTAAGTGAAACGGGAAAGTAAAAGGCAGCGAAAACAAGAATGAGGTTTAACGATTTTCCAATAAGTCAGCACAAGGTCACACTCGGATCTTCGACCCAATCAGTGGCCTACAATAACAACTTTAATCCAAGATTAAAACTGTTTAATGTGGGAATAATCCAACATCAATTGAGGCTAACTTCATTATTAGTATAACATTCCCATGTTTTAGCTTGTAATTTGTGCATTTTTAGGTTATATCTGGTAGACATTTAGTCTAGGCAGATCTTACATGAGTACTAGGAATGGTATTTGCTCTGTCGGTTGCGTGATGAAACCGTACTTTTAGTGTCGGATTCGGCAATGGAAGTTGCCATTAACACTGCAAATGGTAAAAAGATTATAACTGTGTCATCCTGGTGGCAATTTATGTCTTTTTTGACTAAGTGTGGCTGTGTTTAGTTAGTTCAAATTTTTATGATCACAAAACTTTATCGATCGGCTCCGTTTATCAAGGATACGTAAATGAATACAACGGCTGCC